TAATTTTTAGCAGATTTTTTTTTTTTTAACCGATAATAATCTTTCTCTTGTACATAATATTAATATACATAAATTTTCAATACTCATTCTTGCACTTCATCATTTTAAAAAGTACTAAGGGTAAACATTCATAATTACATATAGATAAAATACTAGTACAGTCCTCCAAAATATTAAGGGCAACATTGAGAATACTTCCTACAGAAGCGACTAACTACACAAAAGAGTAACTACTACTCACTACCCTGTAGGTCTATATACTACAAAAGACTATCTATAAAAGTTTAGGTATGTTTATCCCAATACATGTTGCCATCATTGTGGCTCCCGGCTAATGAGTATGAGTATCATACTCCTCGGGTGTGGAATCGAGCCATCTCCCCTCTCTTCAAACAATGACCGATCGGGTCCAACGAGTACCGCAAGCACGAAGAAATAAAGAAAACGAGAAAGACAAGAGGGTGAGCAACAGTTCATACATCATTTTAAAATCAACATCATAAACATTCACAAGTCAATCAAATTCCAAATGATTGATGTTAATGTTGCATGATCCTAATATGTTTTCTAAAATGTTTATGCATGCGGGCCCGAATCATTTCTCAAATCGATGCTGGGGTAGCCAGGAGTTGAAACTACTAGGCATGGAAAATCCACCCACGGGATTGTTGAGACCCATGCTCAAATATAAACCCGAGTAGCTCACCGACCATTGATATACGGTAAGAGCACGATCGGGTATAGCGAGTTTGTACAGTGGGATCCCCGACAACAGGTAGCGAGCACTGGGTCTTTTGGGGCCTCCAACCACTACCCTTCCTATCCTCAAGTCCTCCCTCGGGGCCTCCCTATCGTATTCTCGAGTCCATAATCTCCGATTCCCAGATTTCACAAATCACCATTTTCAAATGAATAATGTATGAGTCCCTAAGTGGTTTTTCTTAGAAATTCACATTTTTCCAAAAATTTGACAGATTTTCCCCGTAATACTGAGACTTCCCAAAAATTTTCTAATCACACTGTTACAAGCGAGAAAACTTCCAATACAGTTCAAAAGGGTTCACAACCCATCATCCAATTCTCTCAATTAAATTTTCAATGAACTTTCTCATGAAAAACCACCATGCATATAAATGCTCACTCAAAGACCATACATATCATAATAGAGTACCAAACATATATTTTACACCATCATACACGTAAGCAATTCATGATCACTTTCACAACCAAGCATATAATAAAATCAAAATGATCAATCATAACAAATTTAGACAAATTCAACAAATAAGGTCAAACAAGTTTATGATGTAATCCTTACTATATAGCCCACCCCTTACCCGATACGTTCACACTTATTCCTTTCAAAGCTTGATGTTGTGTTTCAAGCAAAATCTATATACGTAATAAAATTCTAGTTAGAATCTTATATTTCTATGATTCTATCTCATGAGAATTTAAATTCACTTTGTATTACTAATCCATTTCTAATAATATTTTAAGCTCACATTCAGCTTACAATTAACTTAGAAAATTATCCTATTTTATAGGCACTTAGAGTAGAAAGAATCCTAATAACAACAATGGACAAGGTTCAGTATTTCAAAATTTTCTAGAGTTATATAAGTTGTTTTGGCATGAGATTTGAGCCAAAATTTCAATAACTTAATTACCTGCAATATTGATGAAGGAAATAAATTCAAATACCCTATAGAATAGATGCAGTTTTCAGTTTTCAGTGGTTGTTTCCAACTAGGCTCAACTACAATAACACTCTGAACATGCCTTAGTAATTGGATTATAACTCTTGCTACACATAAGCTATTGACATGAAACAAATTTCTAAATTTCGGGAATATAATTTTCTACAACTTTTATGAAGGAATCAAGTCCTAATTTCATACGTATCAATCCCAGTAATTCAAAAACCGAGGCTGTTGAAACAGGGCAACATCTTAACGTCACAGCTAGAACACTTACAGTAAAATGGATATAACTTGAGCTACCAATATCCGTTTAATGTAAAACCAGTTTCTAAATTTCGACAACTTAATGGGCTACAACTTTCATGAAGATACCAATTCCTAATTCTGTTCACACAAGTCCCAAAAATTCAATGAATAGTACCTACGAATTAGGGTTCTTAAAGTTTTTAGCTTAACAACTTCTAATCCTCAATTTTAAGCATCATTCTAGTATTCTAGGTGTAAAACCTACAATAACCTTCTTCCTACTCCCATTCAAGATCATTCAAGTGAGGATAAAAATAGAAAATGCACCGTTTTGAAAAATAAAACGGTAGAAATGTAGAGGAGATTGAGATAAACCAACTTACCTCTTGGAGCTCCTTAAGAAAACCAAGATTTTTCCCTCAAAATCAAGCTTGAAGGTAAGGAAATTTTTGAGAGAAAGAGAGAAATGAGGAACTACGGTTGCAAGCAAGTTGCGAGAATGACACTCTTTCTTATAAAGTCAAACATTTCACCTAATAATCCGCTCAGCAGCATTTCGATGCGCCAGTGGATTACATGCCGCATGTAATAGAGGTAGGCCGCAAGTAAGCAAGAGAATTCGAACCACAATCCGCTCAGTCGCATTTACGATGCGCCAGATGGATCCCAAAACTCTATTTTAATCGATTAGAAGACCCGTTGATCGATCGCGAGACATAATCCGCTCAGTGATTTCCGTGCGCTCAACGGATTATATTACAAAAATGTTATCCATTATTTAGTCCTACCAGGATTTGAACCCACAACCCCTAAGGCTCAAACATCACTCCAAACCATATCAACCATCATATATTTCTTGTTAATTTATACACATAATAAGCTTTTAATGTATCCACACTCAATGCATACAAGAAAACAATAATTTTTTTAATGTGATAATTAAAATTGTTAAGTCCATACTCTTTCAATTTCAACCTTAAATTATATAACTACTATCAAGCGTCCAGGTTGTCAGCTGAAACGGATCAATTTTAAGTATTTTCTAAAAATTCCAGAAAAATTCTAGAAAATCACAAATAATCTAACAAACATAAAACTCTACCGTTTCTTTACCCAATTCCTAATAATTTAATTATTAAAATTTTGACAAAGATTTTGTCAAAATTTAACAAACCAGGGGTATTGAGAATCAGGATGTTACATGATGGATTGATTCGGGTTGTGAAATTTTGACTCATCGTAAAGTAAGTTAGGTTGAACTCACCTATTTTCAGTTCAGCCGTGACGAACCAACTTGTGTGAGCCATATTGGTTTACTTTGACACCCCTACTCACATCATGCCTATCATATTCTCCCTTTGTCCAAGCATCATCTTCATAAGAGGACAATTAGTACCACGATTGAGATTGATAGTAGGATGAATGAGGATGCCTTAAAGGGGATTAAACTAAAACTCGTAATTACTTTTCCACTTTGAGAATTTTCTTTCTAAATACCTTCATTTCTTCACGATGTCTCTGTTTTATTAGATTGAATTTTTCTTTTTATTTTTATTTTACACTTCCTCTATGTAGAGTTTCAAGGAATTGAGAATATCTCTACATTCATCTTAATGAATTAAAATGATCAATATATGTGACATAATTTATATTTCATTGGGTGACATGGTAAATGTCAAATGTTTTTTCCAAAAGAAAATATAATAAAAACAATATAAATAACTAATTAGTCTTGATCACAACCCATTTAGTCTTAACTTTGTTGATTATATTTCAGTTATGGTGATTGGAAAAATAGGGAGGTCCACCAGTAAAGACACTCCGATACTTAAGTCGGTGCACTGATATTTTTGAGAAAAATGTATCTATTCTATCAAATACATAATTTACAAACTTCTTACTAATATTATTTTAAATAATAAATAATATTTAAGCACTTAATTATAATATTAAAGGAGAAGATTAGTTATGTATTATTATTTGATAAAGAATATTAACAAGTATTTGTGAATCTTTGGTTAAAATGATTTTCGCATGTAAAAAATGTTTTAAAAAACTTATTTTAAATTTCTAATATTTTAAAATATAATAAATTTATATATTTTTAATTTTAAAGAATTTATATAAATTTTTCTTTAATTTAAAGAACTAAAATATTATAATATATATATATATAATATTTTTCTAGAAGTTTATATTAAAAATAAAAATCATAAAATTTTTGAAAACATAATTTATTTTAATTTAAATTTTATATTAAGTTAAAAATAAATAAATAAAATTATATTTGATTTAAATAATTATTTAATAAAAAGAAACCAAATCAAACAACTGATGATCTCTAATTATAATAACTAAAATACTAAGAAAAACAAATATTAACAAAAGAATATAGTTAATGATATAAAAAGTTAAAAATATTTTTATTTCACTGTTATTTTCTGAATAGAAGTAAAAAAAAAATTAAAATTATTTTTTATTCTTTTTTTTTTCATAATATATTTTTAAAAAAATACTACCAAATTTTATTCCAAGAAATCGCAACATAAGCATAAAAAAAGAAGGGGCGCGAGGACATAACCAAAAAAAAAAAAAAAAAAAGGCAAGTGAGGTTTACGCAACATAGAATAGACAAAGCTCATGCGGAAACTTCAGAGATTAAAAAGAAGGAAATGAGGTAACATACGGGCACCACGCAGGCCCGATCTGGGCAGCGGGCAACGGGCAGCACTAGGCGCCGTTTTCAGAATTCAGACCCTTAATACTAAAGAAGGAGCCATCATTTATTGTTAGGTACTGTCCCACTCACCGAGCCTTAGCTTCGTAACTTTGGACCTCAGCCTCGGAACCGAAACTCCAAAAGAATCCAAACCTGCACCCCTCGAAAACTTCACGGAAAGAGAGAACCAACTAAGCAAGAGCAAGAGAGAGAAAAGAACCACGCGTTTCTAGAGAGAGAAAAGAACCACTAGGCCCCGAAAAAAAGAAGGAACCGATTTGAGAGAGAGAGAGAGAGAGGTGAGGTTCTAGATAGAGAAGGGCGCGCACGCCATGGTTCAGATCGCGAGGAGGAAGAAGGGACGACCGTCGAAGGCGGATCTGGCACGCCGTTCCGACGAGTCTCCGGCCGCCTCGTTGCAGCCCGATCTCCGGCGAAGCCACCGGCGCCGGAGCGTAAGGTACAACATCATCGACTACGACGGAGACTACCTCGACGACGAGGAGGACGAGAGAAAGCGGGAGAAGAAGAAGCTCAAGCTCATGGCAAAGCTGAACCAGGACGGTGAAGAAGAAGAGCGTGAAGAAGAAATCGAGACGACGCCGGGCCGCACTCATGCTGATGCACCAGTGGAAGAATACGAAGACAAGGAAACAGAACAAGAGGAAGAGAACGAAAACGAACAAGAGGAAGAACACGAAGAAGATGAAGCCGGTGTGGTAATGCATTAGTTTAAAATTGCCTTTGTGGTTTTGTCGCGATCTTTGAGGTAATGGTAATTGCGGATAAATCCAAGGAACATTGTCAACGCTAAAAATCTTGACCATTCAGGGGAATTCGTGTGTGGTAGTGTCACTGAGATTCTTCTTTGGCCGATTGGTGCATAGAATTTCTCTCAATTTTCTCTCTCTAGATTTCTCTCTGTCCTTGTCGGGATCTAGAGAGAGATTAACTAAGAAGTCAACTGTCTAAAACTAAAACACAGAATCTGATCTCTCTATACATACTTTCTCTCTATATATACACACATGTATATACACTCTCTTTCTCTCTCCATAGTCTATATATATATAGATATATATAGCTGTCTCTGTCTGTATTGTTTGTGTCTCTGTCGCACTCTCTATTATAAATATAAGTGATGAGTGAAGTATTTAGCCTTTGGACGCTATTAATTGTGTGCGTGTATGTTTCTAATGATGACAGGTAAAGGGCAGAAAAGTGGAATCGAAAGGGCTCCACTCTGTTTCTGTTTCAGGTCCGTGTGATTTTAATTGGGGTACTTGTTGCGGTTGTAGGTGTGATTTTTTAGTTTTTTTATATATGGATAATTTGAAAAGGAAAAAAAGTGATGACTGCTCAAAGGGTACTTGTGGTTGTGTTTCTGCATCGTCCTTTGTGTGTTTTCATCAATTTGCGCTTTATTTGTTTTTGTTTTATTTTTACTGTTAGGAACTCCGGTGATTCTTCCATCTGGGATTCCGTTGCCTGATAAGAGGACCCTGGAATTGATCCTTGACAAACTTCAGAAGTATGTGTTTTCTTTTTCCATTTTTCAGTGTTTCTTTGGGGTTTTTGTTTAACTGTTTATGGCGATGAGTGATCCAGAGGGTGCATGTTTTTGGTTACTACTTTTGTTTTCTGACTTGGGACTATTGCGGGGGTCTGGATGGTGGCAGGAAGGACACTTATGGTGTGTTTGCGGAGCCTGTTGATCCAGAAGAGGTGTGTCAAATTTTCTTCCCCGTGAGTTGGTAATCTTTCTTTTGGAAGACACCCTGACTTGGAAGTTCAAATTCTGTTTTGACATGCAGCTTCCTGATTATCATGATGTGATAGACCATCCCATGGACTTTGCCACTGTGAGGAACAAGTTGGGAGCTGGATCTTATACTACCTTAGAACAATTTGAGGTGTGCAAACTTGTTTCATCTGCTCATGCTTGGAGGAGCTTGCTGTTTTGTATTGAGTTTTTGATTGTTTGGTACTGGATTTCGATGTTAATTGCACTCTTCTACCTAGATAGTAACCTGCTGTCTTTTCTTTAATGAATTCAGCAATGATGAGTGTTGTCAAATGATATATCAGATATCAGTAAAGAAACGAGAGTTGTTGGCAAGAGTCAGCAACATGTATTTAGTCCTTGGCATGTAAAGAAAACATTAGGAATGGCTAATTTCTTGACTTACTCAGCATATTGTCAATTGTGTACTGGTCATTCTGTACTCATAGATGGTCATTGCATCATTTTATCAGGCAACTATGTGCAGCACCTTTTAATTTCTTATTGGTTGATGCATCATCCCATGTTTATTGTACTGTTAACCAAAGTCTGTCAGGATTTTGTTAATACATTCTGAAAATTTCATGGTGCTACACAGTAGTTGCTTGTGTTTTTTATGGGTTTTTATGGATGATGATTATAAGAGCATGATATGAATGAGATCGAAGGATATTTAGTGTTTATATGATTTTGTTTTATACCCATGAGATTCATGTCTTTCAACCTGCTGATTAATTGGATTTGGCCATAGTGTAATATAAAGGATCTAACCACAAAGAAGGTGGGAAAATCTTCTCATTTTGTTTAATTGGTACCTGCTTGATAATCAATGAATCGTGATAATACTCTGACCACACTCTGACTTCGGTGTTAATAATAGTTTAGCTCTTACAGATGTGAACTTCTAAATATTTTATTCTCATCATTTGATTTGATTTTGATCATGCTTATACTATCTTATGTGCACAAGGTCCCTGTTCCTTTCATAGACCTTCTCTTGCCAAAAATGTTTAATATTTGCCTTCCTATTATCATTTGTCAGAAGTATAAAAATGACATTTTGCACATGGTTTCTGTTTCTGGCTTCATGTTCTTCATGGGTATTTCTCAGATTGCACATGGTTTCTGTTTAAACTTTTTTGTATATTTTATGCATGTGAACATGTAATTTTTAGTTTTATATTTTTTGTTCTTGGACCCCCTTGAATAGAATTTCTGGCTCTGTCTCTGCATAGATGCATTTTAAACACTTGCAAATGATGAATGGATATTCAAGAAACGTGAGAATGAACTTTTCTGCTAATAGATCCCTCAATTACATAAAAGTCTAAAATATTTTTCTCTCTCATCTTAACTGTGTATTAAATTTGACTTCCTAATGGAGTGAAAATTGGAAGACAAGATTTAATTCTAATTGCACTGACTTGTGAATGGAATTGCTGAATGCAGAGTGATATATTTTTAATTTGCTCAAACGCAATGCAATACAATGCAGCGGATACTATATACCACAAACAGGTATACAGTTCGATTCCTCCCTGTGTTCCCCTCCCAACAATTGTGACATCAATCATTGTTTTTTCTGCTTACTGTGTGACTCCTATATTTGTCACAGGCTCGATCAATACAAGAACTTGGACGGAAGAAGTTTGAGAAGTTAAGAATTGGATTTGAACGCTCTCAGATGGAGCAGAAATCAGAACAAAAAGCAGGATCCAATTATTTGGTTAAGAAGCAACCGAAGAAGCCACTGGTACGTGCCTCACAGGAACTTGTTGGCTCTGATTTCACTTCTGGAGCAACTCTTGCTACTATTATAGATGTACATCCAACTTCCCATCCGATGCAAGGTGGTAGATGTGAGAGGCCTGGCAATATTGATAGTATTTTGGAGGCAAATCCTTTCTGGATTGATGCAAATCAAGAGAAAGCTGAAGATGTTTTATCAGGTATCTCAGTAATGAGATCATGCTATTATCCTTATCCCGTTACATTTGTATTCATTATTCCTAAACATACTTTTAAAAGAGGATTCTTATGTCAAAATGTAGTTAACCATTTCGATTGTGTTGTTCATTGTTTCAGGGAAAGGCCTTCTCTCTAAGTGGGGAAGGAAGTCTGTTGTGCTTGATGAAAGTCGGCGTGCATCTTATAACATGTCCAATCAACCAATTGGACGATCAGAATCAATATTTATGACTTTTGACAGTGAAATGAAGCAGCTGGTTACTGTATGTATCATAAGGAATGAATTTTTGTTGGTTTTCTTTTATTCATGTTGTCAAAAACAAAAAAACGTTACAATTTGTAAATTGTGGATACAGGTGGGACTTCATGCAGAATATTCATATGCTAGGAGTTTGGCTCGTTTTAGTGCATCTCTAGGACCTATTGCTTGGAAAATTGCTTCCCACAGGATTCAGCATGCACTGCCACCTGGCTTTAAATATGGTCGTGGCTGGGTTGGAGAGTATGAACAGCTTCCAACCCCAATATTAATGGTTAATAATCGTGACCAAAAAGGAACTAGTTTGGTCATGAAGTTGCATTCAACTATTGAATTACCACAGGGTGACAAAAATTGTAAGAATGTGGAACCAAGCATTGAACATCCTGTTAATGGACAGATGCTTGAGGGAAATCATCCTTTGAGGCCTGATTCCGAAGGAAAACCTTTCTTTGGTTCCGCTGGAGTGAGACTCAGTGCTCCTGCCAACATCCTAAATCAGGAGCAGAACACCCAATCCAGGAAAGTAGGCAAGTCTGAGAGTAAGGGTTTGAAACAAGTGGAGTTGAGTTCTTTACCCTCAAGTAAGCAGAATAATAATGGTCTGGTTGCAAAGTTTACAAGTAACACTCCTGCAGCAGAGTCCAAGACCAGAGAGATGGTGCTAGGAAACATGTTCAAGCATCCAGATACTAATGGAAAAATCATGAATACAAGTTTGAACAGACAGGTTACTGGTCCATCACCCGAAAGTACCTCAAACCAATCAAGCAGGGCAAGTCCTGTTGTCCATGAGCAGGAGCTGGGTATTAGTGACCCTGTTCAGTTGATGGGAAAGTTTTCTGAAAGGGCTCAAAAGCAACAGAATTCCAATCATTCGCTTGTTGATACTCCACCAGTGACATTATCTGATCCATCTGGACAGAGAGATGACTTAGGCAATGCTTCAGCAGCAGCAGCCCGAGCATGGATGTCTGTTGGGGCAGGAGGGTTTAAACAAGGACCGGATAATTCTAGTTCACCCAAAAATCAGATAACTGCAGATTCTTTGTACAACTCAACAAGAGAGTTCCATCAGCATATTTCAAGAATTCGAGGGGAGTTTCCCTCTGGTGGAATGCCTTTCCAACCATTTCAAGCACTTGCTCCTCAACCTAGTCACACAGGCACTGTTTTACAGTTTCCCAACCGGCCTATGGTTTTCCCTCAGTTGGCATCTGCTGACCAATCTAGATTTCAGACACAGTCCCCTTGGCGAGGTCTAAGTCCCCGTGGCCAGTCAAGGCAGAAACAGGAAACCCTTCCACCTGACTTGAATATTGGTTTTCAATCTCCAGGCTCACCTGCAAAACAATCTTCTGGTGTCCTTGTTGACTCACAACAACCAGACTTAGCTCTGCAACTATGATAAGGCATTGCTGTCTTGGCATGGATGTTTTCATTTTAATTGGACTGGTCATGGAATTTTCATTGCAGCTCCTGTCATCGGATGTTGAATTTGAACCTAAAAGGCGTGCATAATAAATGTGAAGTGCCAAACTTACCCGGATTGGATTTAGCACAAGGTAGTCCCGATTCAAAATGATTTTGATAGTGCAGTGGACTTTGGTGAATTTAACAGAAATAACATGACGACTTACTATCATCATTTCCAGATGAGGATTTCCAAATCCATACAGCAGGTCTCTGTTAACCTAAGGTTGAAGCTGTAGAAAAAAGTCTGCATGTTGACTGATTATATCGGTTGCAGGCAAAATATACTCCTGATTCCTTGTATGTATATTGTTTACAAGATTAAATTTGGTTGCCTGGATATTTCGTTCCTTGGATGACTACTTATGTATCTGAATTGTCTCACTTCTTAATTATGCTATTATTTTGTACATGAGATTTACATGTCACTAATGGAAAGAGATTGCTTGCATCTTCCTTACATATTTAGTCCTTTTCAAACACTTGTTCTCCTTTATAAGGAATTCTTTGAAACTTAAACAAAATATATTATTGAGCCATTTTGATTTTCCATATGGCAACCATAAAGTCTTTTTTCTCTTTCAAACGCTAGTCAATTATTCTTATCAGTCAGTATTAATCACCAGTACACAAAATGAGTATGCAGAAATGAAAAGGGAAAACTGCAGTTGCTGATACAAGATTGGAGTTAGTATATCAGTTTCTCATCTTCCCTCACCTCACATACCAGATTGGTTCACGTTGCAGAGAAGCAATAGTGGTCAAACAATATAGAAATTATGGAATTATTCCAATAACATACCATGTGCTCTTATTATCATATTGCAATTATCAGATATCCGCTTAATCTCAAGATAGTTACTATTGTAGTTTATAACTATAAGATTATGAAGAGATTTCAATTTAATCTCAAGAATATGCTTATTATAATAATAATAGACGATCAATAAGAGCTACGATTAAGAAAAATTATGAAATCTAATATCGTATGCCAAATCTTACCTCATTTACTAAGATAATTTATTCTACTGTTATATAAGACACTCTCTCACTAAAAAGAATTATAGAATCTAATATCATGTTATCAATGGATAATAAAAAATTATCTTATAGATATATAAATTATGTATGACATGTTTTTAGTAGTCATGTGATGCCATTTTCTAAATATACTATCCTTTTTTTACTCTTCCTATCACATTATACATTAATTATTACTTGTCTTTTTTCTTTTTTTTTTTGAAAATAAAATGTATTGATAGTTTTAATAGGATATTTTCAAATTGTCTAATTTCTGATTATTGTTTAGTTTGAACATATTTTCATTCATGATAAGTTATCCAATCTTGTTTTTAACTCTTTATATATATTTTTCCCTTTTTTGTTTTGATAAGTATTTTATTTTATCTTGTTTCAAAAAGTTATTTAAATCGCTTTATTTAATTGTTCGAAGCGTCATCTAAACTGTTTTCAAAGAAGAAGAAAACAACAAAATTAAATGATATAAAACAAAACATAGTTTGATAATTATTAGAAACTCAAAATATAATTAAATCTTAAATTTTTATAAAAATATCTTTGAGAGAAGATGAATTTATCAGATGAGAAAATGTTAAGTAAATGTTGAATCATAAAGGATAATTTTGATAAAAGCTATACAGAATGTTAATAAATTAAATATTACTAACTGATTTTTTTTTAATTCTTATGAAATAGTTAAACGGATCTTGTATGTCATACCACCAACTAATTGATTTAGCTACGGAAAAAACATGGAAAATAAATTTTGTAATTCTCAATAAAAAAATCTATTTAGGTTTCAACTTCTCCAATCCAATTTTTATATAACACAATTATTTATATAATTGAGGATAGTAATTAAACTCACATTTGTAAAAAATCAAATTATTACATATGATGCGAGTTTAAGTTTTTGGTGCATTAAAAAGTTAAGAATAGAAATGAATAATGACATTTTGATTTTGATTTTATATTTAAAATTAAATTTTAAAATATTTTATTTTATTTTTCATATTATATATATTATTTTGTTAAATAACAGATTTTATTATTTTTATTTTAATAAAAATTAAAAGGAGTTATAGTTCAATTTTTTATTATCTTGTATTAATTAAATAAAAATTATTTTATTAAATATTTTTTATAAATTATATATTTATTAATATTTTAAAATAATAATTTAAAAAATAATTAATTTATATATGTATCTAAATATTTGGATTTAATATTATAATAAATAATAATTAAAATAATTAAATATTATATATATATAATATAAATATAATAAATTAAAATATATATTTCTTGATAATAATTACAAAATTATAAATATTTATTAATATATAAAAAATAATATATAAAAACATTAAAATTAATTTATTATAAATATAATTATTTAAATATATATATATATATATATATATATATATATATATATATATATATATATATATATATATATATATATATATATATATATATATATATATATATATATATATATATATAACAGAACGAGGAAATCCAAAATTTAACATAACTTAATTTCTAATAATAGAATGTGAAGAAAATTGGTTTGAGAGACTAATTCACGTGTCTTTATATCCTTCTAAAATAGATATATTTTTGCAATAATGCATATGTTCATGAATTTTCCAATCAGGCAGAGAAAATAAACAAGGAACTATTTCTGAATAAAACTCAGAGAACAAGAAAGAAATTAGCATGCACGTTGTACCCAAAGTAAAATTTTATTTTGCAAGAAACATTAGCCAGTTATCAAATATCCATCCACAAACTGAAAAATTTTCAAGGTAATTATTATAAATTAACCAAGGAAAGAAGAAGTGGAACAAAAAATTCTTTCTCCAATCCTTCAAGATTTTACATAGGACATGGTTCTTCTAACTCTGCTATTGCTTGGTCTTGGATTTTTTGGCCTGGTACTTCTTCCTATCTCTGAGCATACAAACATCACCATGGCATATGAACTCTTTGGAGTGTGAGGACTCTGAGAAACGGCAACAGCAAAAGAAAGACAAAGCCATGAACTGGTATTGATCAAGCTTGAAGACATAGGAGAGAAAAAAAAACTAACAGTGGCTTGCTTATATTTCATTCTTGGTGCTATACTAATACTAAATATAATATGAACACAGAATTTTGTAGTGGGGGTCAAGTAGCATATGAAAAACATTATAATAATGGTCAAAGATTGCACAATCTGTCAGTGTCAGCAATGAGAACACGTCTTCCTTTGTTCACAACTTGTCAGGGACAGACAAGAGTCGTTCCCACGAAACAACAAATAAGTTTCAAGATTTCTTTAAAACCCCATTATATCTAAAGACAGATGTGGCTTTACTCTTAAATGAATTATATAAAATTTTTCACAAGAGTCTCAGTAAAATTAAATGAACCAAAAATATTAATAATTTTATCTTTTGAATTTTTTTTATTGTATTTTATTTATAATATATTTATACTTATTAAAATTAAAGTTGACCCCCTTAAACCAATCATCCAAATTTAAAAACAATGATAAATCACCACCCTTGGATCCAATCAAAACAATCATGATGGTTAATAAATTTTCCTCTTGTTTTGTTCTGACACCACTTTTGTAATTTATTGAATTAGATATTAACCTTGTTAATGTGTAATGCTACCACAGCAAATTTTCGGGTGAATGAAATAATAATTTGAATGAAACGTTAACAAGTTATTTAGTAACTTTTAATATAAATATTTAACAATTTTTTAGTATATGAATTGTGTTGTTACTAAAATTTATAATAAATAAATGTATTGAAATGTATAAATTGTAATATAAGATATTTTAATTATTGATATCATTTTTTAACGAAATTAATAAAATGTAAATTTAGAAATAGAGAAAAAAATGTGAAGGGGTAAATAGTTAAGAAGAACAAGTAGATAAATATAGATAAAAAAAATGATAGCTTAAAATGAATGAGATGATTTGGTTTTATTAATTGATAATGAACATTTATAAAAAAAAAAACTTGATAGAGTCTAAAATATTTCCATATGTTCATATATTACAAAATGTGGGTTATGAATGACATTATTAGAATATTAGTAAATGTTTTAGGTAAAAAGTAAAAAAAAATCTCACATCCTTAAATTAACTAATGATACAAATAAATATTATAAGTATAATGATCTTATGAATCATTATTATTATTATAATATTATTTTATATTGAAAATAAATTAGTTTAACTAAATAAAATAATGTTCATAATAATCATTAAGTATTTAATATAAAATCATATTATAAAATATTAAATAAATTATGTATGAATTTTTTATCATATTACACTATAGGCTAATCTTGTTGGGTAGAGGTACCATTTCTTTTTCTCATTATAATCTATACTTTGTTAACGAATGAGGAAAATTGATTGAAAAATATTTTTTATGATGTGTACAGAAGATAGTTAGATAATTGTTCGATTAGTTTGTGTAAAGTAAAATAATCTAATTTTTGTAAAAATAAAGAAGGTAAAAAGTAAAATAAATCAATTATGTTAAAATTATATATGTATTAATTGATTAGATAATTACTTAATCGATTATATGACTTAAATTCATATTTTCATAATATATGCTAATAATCGATTATAGTTACTTAATCAATTGTGTAACTAAATTTTTGTTTTGATATAACGCGCTAATAATAAATTATGTCAAGTATCTACACTACAAGAAAACAGTAAATAGTGACTAGAAATTCGGTCACTAACTAAAATAGTGACCGAAATAGTGACAAACTCGAATCAGTCATACTTTTCTTAGTCGTTGATTTTAGTGATCGATTTTGTGACCGAATTAATGACTACTTTTGTGACTAATTCAGTGACCGATTCAGTGACCAAATCAGTGATCAAAT